CTCCGGAAACGGAGTGAGATGGTGGCGGCGCTCAAGTCGGGCGAGGAGTTTGACGTCCTGATCGTCGGCGCGGGCTGCACCGGCGCCGGCGCTGCGCTCGATGCGGCAACGCGCGGCCTCAAGACGGTGAGGGGATGCCGCCGTGAGGGGCTGGATTCGCGCTCGACACTGCTGCCACGCTACCCGCCACAGCCGCCACTGCCCACATCCACAGCCGCACTCCCTGCCAGGCGTGCGTCGAGCGGGGCGACTGAACCTTCCCTGAACCTTCTCTGAAGCTTCCTAGGCGTGCGTCGAGCGGGGCGACTTTGCGAACGAGACGTCGAGCCGCAGCTCAAAGCTGATCTGGGGCGGCTTCAAGTACCTCCAGGTCTTAGGCCGGTGTGTTGGCAATGCCAGGACACCGAGCTCGCACAACCTCACAGCGGGAGAGCACTGGCAGGTGGCGTTCGCCGAGCTGCTGGACCGCAAGACGCTCACGGCGCCCGTCTCGTCGCTGCAGAAGCTCCTCTCCGAGTTCCGGGAGCCTTCCCTGAACCTTCTCTGAACCTTCCTAGGCGCCCGTCTCGTCGCTGCAGAAGTTCATCTCCGAGTTCCTGATGGTGTACGAGTGCTGCCAGGAGCGGTCGTGGCTCGCGGGGCAGCAGCCGCATCTCGTCGAGTACGTGCCGCAGGCAGTACTGTTGCGAGTACTACGATGAGGAGTATGACTAGTACTTCCACCTCCTCGAGTCTGCCGCGTGCAGTCTTCTTCTTCTCATGACTCCTCTTCCTATGATTCAGATCATGACTAGTGTCACCCTGATGGCGAGGATCTCACGTCCGCCTCTTCGAGGAGGGATGGGATTCCCACGACTATGACTCCCAGGACTGTTATGAGTATTATGTCGACCTCGTCGAGTACCGCAGGCCCCAACCCTAACCCTCACCCTCACCCTCACCCTCACCCTCACCCTCACCCTCACCCTCACCCTCACCCTCACCCTCACCCTCACCCTCACCCTCACCCTCACCCTCACCCTCACCCTCACCCTCACCCTCACCCTCACCCTCACCCTCACCCTCACCCTCACCCTCACCCTCACCCTCACCCTCACCCTCACCCTCACCCTCACCCTCACCCTCACCCTCACCCTCACCCCCTCACCCTAGGCCGTGCCCTTCAAGACGCTGGTCCAGTGGCCGCCGTACTTCAACCACCCCTTCTACTCCATCCTTCCTATCCTCGCCTACCCCGCCTTTGTCTTCTACGACATGCTCGCCGGCATCACCGCGCCGCCCGCCCGCGTCATGTCCGAGACATGTCCGAGACATGTCCGAGACATGTCCGTAGGCTTCAACGCGCCGCCCGCCCGCGTCATGTCTGCGCCGTCGGGCTGTGAACAGCGTCTCTTCACACCGCCTGCTGTGAACAGGCGCCGCCCGCCTACGTCATGTCTGCGCGCGAGACAAAGAAGAACTTCCCGCAGCTCGAGGCCCCGATCGGCCGAGATCGGCCGAGATCACCCGAGATGGCCCGAGATCGCCCGAGATGGCCCGAGATCGCCCGAGATGACCCGAGATGGGCCGAGATGACCCGAGATCGCCCGAGATCACCCTAGATCACCCGAGATCACCCGAGATCACCCGAGATCGCCCGAGATCACCGAGATCGGCCGAGATGGGCCGAGATCACCCGAGATCGGCCGAGATCGGCCGAGACTAGGCGCCGCTCTACTCTGCGGTCTACTGCGAGGCGATGCACAACGACGCCCGCACCGGCACCGCCATCGCGCTCACCGCGGCGATGAAGCTGTGAACAGCGTCTCTTCACACCTTCGGCTGTGAACAGGCACCGCCATCGCGCTCACCGCGGCGATGAAGCTGTGGACAGCGTCTCTTCACACCTTCGGCTGTGAACAGGCACCGCCATCGCGCTCACCGCGGCGATGAAGGGCGCGACAATTGCAAACTATGTCGAGATGACGGGCGCCGCGCACCGGCGGCACTGCGGCGCCGCCGGCGCCTTTCTTTCTTTTTCACGGGGGGCGTGTTGTTTTCCCTTTTTAGGAGTCGTGCACGGCGGCACGCGGCGCCCCTCGGTTTGCCTTCTTTGACGCGTGTGTGTTTTCTTTTTTAGGGTTCGTGCACGGCGGTCCGGACGGCGCGACGGCGACCGGCGTGACGTGTGTTGACAAGCTGACGGGTGAGAGAGAGCCGAGAGACCGCCGAGAGACAGCCGAGAGGCAGCCGAGAGGCAGCCGAGAGGCAGCCGAGAGGCAGCCGAGAGAGAGCCGAGAGGCAGCCGAGAGGCAGCCGAGAGGCAGCCGAGAGGCAGCCGAGAGGCGGCCGAGAGAGAGCCGAGAGGCAGCCGAGAGAGAGCCGAGAGAGAGCCGAGAGAGAGCCGAGAGGCGGCCGAGAGAGAGCCGAGAGAGAGCCGAGAGGCGGCCGAGAGACAGCCGAGAGACAGCCGAGAGGCGGCCGAGAGACAGCCGAGAGGCGGCCGAGGTGCAGCCGAGAGGCGGCCGAGGTGCAGCCGAGGTTCAGCCGAGAGGCGATCGAAGTGCAGCCGAGGTGCAGCCAAGCTTCAGCCGAGGCTCAGCCGAGGCTCGCCCGAGGTTAGGCGAGCAGTTCGTGGTGAAGGCAAAGGCGATCGTCCTCGCCACCGGCCCCTTCCTCGACTCTGTTCGGCGCATGGACGACCCGGGGGCCGACAAGGCGCCTGCCCCTCCCCGCCCCCATGCCTCCCCCCCCCCCCCCCCCCCCTCGCTCCCCATCCCTCCCCATCCCTCCCCATCCCTCCCC